CCCCGTCCCTCCTCGGCACCGGGGCGCGCCGTGGTCCCGGTTAGGGGAATTTTTTTTGTGCCTTTTTAAATCGATATGCTTTAAATTTTTTTTCTCTTTTAAAAACACTTAATCTCGCTTATTTCTGCAAGAGCCACGTACTCGCCCCTTTGATCCCCCCGCCCTGCGATCCCCCACTGTAGCAAAGCCTTTTTGTTTTTTGTTTTTTTTTAAAGAAGTTGCAAACTCTTCGCCGTGCAAAAAAAAGATGTGCTCCTGGGAAGTGCAACGATAGACTTGATTCGTTTTCCCCTCGCAAGTGCAATTGGAAAAAAAATCTGGATTTGAATTTAACCTTGTAACGCTTTGTACGGAGGTGTTACATGGACGCACAGAGCAGGAATAATTTCAGGAAAGTTAAAAACAAACTTTCCCGAACGATTAAAGGTACCTGGCAGAGGCTGTTTTGGAAAAAGGCAACAACGTCCTAGAGAAGAAAAGTGACTACATCTTCTCCATCTTAGGGACATAAAATAATAAAAGTGGCCCTTGACAGTAAATGTTTATAGCTGCTGACCTTTACCAACGCCTCATCGCAAACCGATTCGTTTTTATCTTTTTCTCATTTGCCCCGAGAACGTGAAACTTTGTCATCTTAACGTCTAATTACGGTTTCACCGGGGGGGGGGGGGTGGGGATTACCAACCCCGCCATCAGATTACACCAAGATTTCGAGATTAAAAACCGACTTGCAGATTAGGCCCGGCCTATTAGGACACGGCGAATTGCATTCCCTTCCTCGCTCGGGAGCTGGCCGTGTCCCGCCGGCCCGGGTGCGGGTCCCCAGGTCCCTGCAGGGGAGCAGCGAATTCGGGTTACGGCAAGAGAAGGCGATTTTGCGATGGTGTTGCTTCGGGGTGCGGGTCCGCCGGACCTCGCCTGGGGTTGCCGGGCGGGTTGCTGGAGGCGTTAGAGAGTTGCTGAGCAGAACCACAGCTCCCTCGCCCCACACCTCCTCTTACCTTGCTGAAGCACTCGGCTACCCTCGCCCTCTATTGTAAAACGCTTTCGGCTGTGTTTGGCGTTTGGTTTTGTTTCGTGGTCTGGGTTTTTTTTTTTGTTTGGGTTTTTTTTCCTCCCCCCCCCTCTTTTTTTATTTCCCCCCTTTCTTTTAAATCCACTTATTGTCATTTCTGAGGTCCGTGCTGGCAGAGCTGAGGGCTGGAAGTTTAATGGTGGCTTTCTGGATGGCTTCTTTAACCCCGTAGGCCCCACGTTTATGAGTTGTGCGTGAAATATGTCAGGAAATTGTGTCTGAAGAAGTGGGTTTCCCGTTCGGTGTGTGTCTATGCAGACGTGTTTGGTGTATTAAAGGGATGGCTTCACGTTCAGTTCAGCTGGAGGAGATATCGCCACGTCTCCATTGAAGTACAGTGTAGCTTGCTCTGCTGCTAATCAGGTAGCTCTCCAAAGAGCAGTAAATATTTACCAGTTAAAGTCTTCATGCTGCGAGAAAGTACTTGTTTGATGTTTATTTTTATGGATTTAAGATTACTAAAAGCTACTTAATAAATTATACCATGGCTAGTCCTGAATGGGGAAACGTGCCTCTTTGAATTCTCCGTCATATGCAGGAAGAGTAAAATTAATATTCATTATAGGCGCAAAAGAAAGGGAATGAGTATTTTTAGGCGAAAAAAAAGGGAGAGAAAATGAAGGCTGCGACTATTTCATTATTTTACCTCCTTTTTTTTAGCAACCCCCTTGAATGGGCTCTTTATTGTAATTGTCCCTCCCCAATTGAGCACCCCACTGAGCTGTTGTATCTTTTTACAACCCCTAACAACTCGCACCAGTAACACAATTACCGCCAGATATTTATAACGAGAAATTACTTTTCCATTTTCACCCGCGACGATTTCAAATAAATACATGGGGACGCATAAATAAATAAATAAGTGGCCCGGGGGGG